AGTAGCTGATAAATCCAGGGATTAGCTAAATCATGCTTTCTCCCTGTGTTGGGATATTGTGCAGCTGCTAAAGAATGAGATGTGGGTGTACGGATGTGGCCAGATATTGGAGTTGCAGTAGAAGAGAAAGCAAGGTACACAACAGTGTGTATACCAGTGGGTCCTCCAGCTGAATTGATCCTATCAGTGATCAATTACTCAGGCATCTTGCTGTCCCTACCCTGACTGTGGGTGCTGCCTGAGGTACCTGGGCAGTGGGGGGTGACCAGTGGACTCCAACTTGAGGTCTGCCCTGCCTGGCTGGCCCTTCCTCCAAGCACAGGGGCTGGCTGGCTGGCATGGGTCAATACCACCATGCTCTGTCTACATATGAGTTGTATTTTCGTAGAATTCCTCCCATAATAATAGCATCCTTGCCATCCATCTTTCCCAGTGTGAGTGACCCATCTCTGCCCCTCTGATTCCTCAGCATGAGTCAAGACACTGAAGTTAGAAGTCGGATTGTTGGGGGAAGTCTCCGAGGCACCCAGGCTGCTCTCCCTGCCAAGGGGGAGCCGTCACCACCCAAGGAGGAGGAGGACCACACACTGACCCACTGGAAGCCCTTCCTGGTCAACATGTGCATGGCCACAGTCCTCACGGCTGGCGCGTACCTCTGCTACAGGGTATGTTTTCATTGACAGACGTGCTGGCGAGATGCGCGCGTGCAGAGAGCACTGGCCGCTAGCCTGGTGTTAGGATTCAGTTCTGTGGCGCATTTGAGCCAGTCTCAGAAGAAACAGATCAAAGGTTTTTAAAGTCTGGAACTATGGAAGGGCTAACAAGAGAACTGAGGATTGATGCACTGGGGTTTTAAGGAGGCCTGTGGTCCCAAGAACATATGAGTCTAATCTCAGGGCCTTAAGCTATTCAGGAATAAGTAGAGAAAATGCCAAATATGTTTCTCTCTCTCTCTTTTTTTTTTTTGTTCATTTGTTTTGGAAAAAAGAAATAGAATTACAACACATTGTTGTTTTTAACCTTTATGAAAAGCAGCTTTTTGTTATTTCTGGGGGAAAAAAGACTAGGCACTTATGAAACGTATTTGTACCCTTAAGTGGTGTAATCAGATACACATTTTATATTTGATTTCCCAGGGAAAGAATCCCAAACTTTTACGAATGTAAACTCCCTTGAAGAGGAGGGTTAGGCCACTGTCGTGCTCGGGCACTCCCTTGGCTGTGTGCACACTGAGCCTGGACAGTGCCTACAGCCTTTCCCATTTTAAGAAGAAAAACAAAAAAGACCATCTCTAGAAAACAGAACCTGGCTTCTGCTTTTGCTCAGGGTGTCCCCTCTAGTTTTCCATCATTCATTTCTCCATCGATCCCTCCTGTGACAGCCATCTCACTCATGCACCAGCCCTCATCACCCCATCCCCGCAGATGGGTCAGAGGTTCACTACAGCATGGCCACCAGCATTTCACCCCACTGCTGAGATCCAGAGGAGTGATTTCCACTTCGTTTGGCAAATAGGTGCCATTTTAGTAGAAATCCACCCATTAGAAGTGTGTTGCTGTTAAAGTAAGGGGAAGAGAGAGGATTAGCCTCAGTCATAGAAATCACCTCACAAGACTTCTGTCGTCATCTTAAATATTTTACTTCTTTCCAGGTAACCATCTTTGAGAGCATCAGATGGTTTAGCAAAATGCCAACAAGTTTTTCCTTAGGGGTGATTTTTGGGGAGGGGACTATTATAAAAATAAATCCAAAACCCCCTTCACTGGTGGCTGCCTCAAAGGTTGGAGTTACCAGGGGGTTGGCCGGGGTCATGCATGAGTCAACAGCTCTGCGAGTGTGGGTCTGGGCTCATCTGAAATGTTTGGTTTCATTCCAGTTCCTGTTCAACAGCAACACATAACCTGACCCTCCTTCACTTCACCTCCACCCACTGTCCGCCTCTGCTCGCAGAGCCCGCGCCCGACTAGCAGGCATGCCGTGGTAGGTAAGGGCCGACGGACAGCGTAGAGGGCCGTGCCCCGGATGGACGTTGGTTCTGCACTAAGACCTACCCCCCACCCCTCGGGCTGTGTGTCTCACCCTCATCCTTTTACTTTTCCCCTCCTCCTCTTTCCTCTGAGTATCAAATCCACAACCCATTTTTTGAGGAGAGCAGAGGGGAGCACCGTGCTGTGGTACCGAGGGAAGGTGGCCCATGCCGGTCTCGGGGCTCACCCCCCATGTGCTCCCTCACGGTGCATCCCAGTGCGTCCCAGGCGGAAGGCACACTGACATCCTCCCCATAAGCCACTGTGGCATCTGCATAGAGTAAGCCTCTCCACTCCATATTTATTTTTAATTTTTTTTCCCTCAAAGGTGTCCATAGTGCACTAGCATTTTCTTAAACCAATAATGTATTAAAATTTTTTGATGTCAGCCTTGCATCAAGGGCTTATCAAAAAGTACAATAATAAATCCTCAGGTAGTACTGGGAACGTAAGCCTTTGCCATGAGCCTGCTGCGTCAGACCAGTACTGGGAAGGAGGACGGTTGTAAGCAGTCATTATTTAGTGATATTGTGGGTAATGTGAGAAGATAGAACAATGGTCTAATATATAATGAATACTTGGGTATTTAATAAGATACACGATGTGAGATTACTTTGTCCCAGTTATTCTCCTCCCCTGTTATCTACTAGAACCTTGTTCTCAATCACCACTTTCCTTGTGTGTATTAGAATGCATGTAAGGTCTTTTTGTGTCCTGATGAGATACCATGTGCTTGAAATGAGAAACTTAGATTTCTGCTTACTAATGTGCCCCCATGTACAAGTCCAATCTACCTTTGCATGATCTGATCATTACGTGGCTGTGGTTCTTAAGGCTGTTGCTGAAATCATTGCCGTTCAGCAATAGAGTGATGTTTTCCAGTAACAGATATTCGCCTAATTCCTGGCATGACACTCTGGTGACTTCCTGGTGTGACCCGGCCTGTCCTGGTCCAGCTGGGTCCCACTGTAACTCAGACATTCCAAGGGTATGGGAAGCCATATTCACACCTCATGCTCTGGATGTTTAGGCAAGCAGGGTCCCCCCACACATTTGGGGTCAGCCTCCACTGTTCCAGGTTCACACTCTTCTTGAGCAGACAGTGATTTGGAAGCAAGGCAACTGTTAGAAACCACACTTCTTGAAACAACTGGGGTGACCGTCCCCTAGAGTCAGCCTGCTGCCGTCTCCATCCAGGTTGGCCTTGCTGAGAGAGGTGCGTCTGCCCCACCCTTGAACCCTGTGGGGACTGATGGTGCTCACGACTCTTCCTTCGAGGGGAACTTCAGGTCTCCACATTAAGGGGCTTTTTAAACAAGAAACAAAAGGCAGCCATCACTCCGGAGCTGCTCTCTTGCCAGCATTTCACATTTTGCCTTTCACGTGGCAGAAGCCAGTGCAGAGACATTCTGCAGTGGGGACGTTTGAGCCATGCTGAGGTGTGGGTAAGGTTTAGGTGCCAGGCAGTAAGCATTTTTGAGTTGGGCTTGTTTTTTTTTTTTTTTGAAAAAAAGTCCTGTATATGTATGTAGTAGTTTGGGTGTGTATATATAGTAGCATTTCAAAATGGATGTACTGGTTTAACCTCCTATCCTTGGAAAACAGATGGCTCTCCATCTTGTTACGCATATGTTAGAGAGGTAGCGAGCTGCTCTGCTATATGCCTTAAGCCAATATTTACTCATCAGGTCATTATTTTTTACAATGGCCATGGAAAAACCATTTTTACAAAAATAAAAACAAACGAAAAAAAGCAAGGTGTTTTGGTATAATACCTTTTCAGGTGTGTGTACATGGATGCATGACGGGGTGGGGGTGGGGGGCATCTCAGGGTCTTCTGTGACCTCACAGAACTGTCAAACTGTATAGTTTTCCAACTTGCCACATAAATGATGGGTTTGCATTTTAGTTGCAACAATAAAATTTTTTTTTTCTAAAGAACATGGATTTGGGGTGTTTCCCTTTTCTTTGCCTAATGGACCTAAACCAGGATGGGTAACTCCTTTTTCTTTCCATCCCTGCTGATGTGAAACAGATGTTGTCAATCAAGTGGGGTTAGAATTTCCACATCTAGGAATTAAGACAGCTTCCTGGAGTTGTGAGTGCCATTGCGCTGGGAAAACTCCTTACTAGTGAGCTTATTTAACACTGCAGGCCTCAACCCAAAACAAAAAGAAACACCCACCCTTTGGATGTATGAGGCCTGCTCTTGGATAACTGAACAGATGTACAGAAGTTTGAAGAACTGTTCTACCTTCACAACCATGTCCCTTAGCCAGTTGCCTGTAAGATACAGTGGTTACCACATCTCAGTACATCCCTACAGTCACATTTGATGTAGAATTGACCTAGAAATAAGAATGAGATACAAAAAAATTAGTATAGTCTCTCTTCTGTGTACAAAATTAAACAATGTAAATCCCCCAAAGTGAGTTTTTGACTTTTTGAAGACTTGCAAAATACCGCAAAAATAATACAAAAATTGCCTCATATTCTTCAAGATTTCATGACTGTTTCAAAGCTGGCTGCAGAGTAAACAGTCCATGCTGTGGCCTCCCAGTAGGGCCCACAGGACTGGGAAACAAATACAGGTTGTGGTCACGTGGCCAAGAGACTCAGATGACAGTGTCGCACCCACTGGCCCACTTTGTTTCAGGTATAAAACATGGCATCTAAGCTTTCAAGAAGTAGAATGTCAGCATGAAAAAAATATCTAAATTTATAACTTTGGAACAGATACCAGGTGGGGCCAAAGGCCATGCCACAGGTTGTCCACACAGGGAAAAGACATGCGGGGAGCCTTCGAGAGCATGTGGAGAATCTCAGCATCCAGCAGAGCACAGCGCTTGAGGTCACCCTCCTTTACACGTCCGACACCACACACGGTGGGAGTTTCACAGTGGGAGAGAGCACTACAGGACAGCAAGGGTGACTTTCCCCAGTAGGTTGTTTGGAGAAACCACCACTGTGTACTTTTTTGGGTGAAGTGATATACCAATTAAAATAGTTTAATTGAAACTTCAGAAAATTAAACATGAACAAGGCAAATAAATACTAAGTTAAATCAAAAGAAAAAAACAAAATATGTACAGGAAGTTTAAGGGAGAATGTTTAAGTTACAAAGTTCTCTAATGCCATTGTTGATAGAACATTTAAACCCCAGGTTATCTCTACATTACTAATACAGAGACATCTCAGGACATGGTGTTTTGTTTTGCTTTTATGTAGTAGACTTAAATAGGAAACTAATTCTCTTTCTTTAAAACAACATGAACTTCAGTGAAATCTTCCTTCAAAATAGCTGATTGATTCTGGAACAGTTTATTTAATAGGCCCTAGGTTGACTTGTTTCACAAGTTGGATTTCATTTTGATTTGTATGGTTTTACTGCCTGTGACACTCAGGCCCCTTGGCTGATGTATCTTCTTTCCTTTGCGCTGTTGAACATTGTGAAAATAAGGTCCTGGGCAGCCGGCTGCTGTCAAGCTCCACTGGCATTTGGGCTGCAGCTCACATTAAGAGTGTGGGTCATCGAAACCCTGGCTCTGAGCCTTCCCACCTTCCTCAGCTTATCGAGGTGACAGCCGGCTGCTGTTGAAATGACTTGAGCCACTGCAGTCATTCATTAGCACGGCCAATTGGCTGGCCTGTCGGCCTCCTCAATCCCAGTATTTGTTGAACCAGAAGTGCTGAGCCAGCTGATGTGCAGGGAGACCTCAAGCTCCGCACACTCGTCTTCGAGCCTTTTATTCAGGGCCTCAACTTGCCTGGCCTTCGCCCCTTGGTAGCGTGGCTGGCTGCCACGCCCAGCCTGGGGAAGGTCAGACAGGTTTCCAAAGCCAAGAGTTGAGTGCTCATTTGTGACCGTGCAGACTTCGAAGTGCTGTGCATCACCTTTTCCTGCTTTTGTACAAAGCTCCACTTGTGCCCTGGGGCTTTGTGAGAGGTCCAGAGCCTCAGGCAACAGGCAGCCTCACACTTCTGGGGAAGCACGTGTGCCCCACCCAAAGCTCAGGTGCTATGTTGAGGCTGGGCAGCAGCAAAAAACAGGACACTGGATTTGACCTCATGAGCCCTGGCTTTTTAAAATACTGTGATTTCCACATCTGCCTCCTGGCAAAAGACTTCTCTTTGTTCTGAGCAAAGTTTGTCCATTTTCTCAAAAGCTAAGCGTCCTTTTTCACCTGAAATATCAAAGTAGTCCGTCACTGGTTTGTCTCCCACCTCAGTGTTTCCTACTCTGCCAGACCAAGATGGCCTTAGTACTTACTGACATGGGAGTATCTAGTGTCTCTAAATGGGCAGGGGTTGTTACAACACCAAGGTCAAGGGTTTGGATCCCTATACCAGCCAGCCACCAATTGTGGGCAGGGGCAGGAGGGCTTGGGGAGCTACCACCTGGCAACTCGCATGGGCTGAGGTCTTTGCCGCACTCCATCTATGACAGAGTCTGCTGAGTTGTAGCCCTGTCTTCTCTGGCTGTCATTCACTGAGGATCATAAATGGAAGTTTAAGAAGACAGTGAAACATTTCCTGCCACCCCAGCCATTAAGGAAACCTGCCTTGGCCGGATGCAGTAAAGGTGGAAGTTGACTGTGCACCAGGGATGCTCATGGTGCCATCCCAGGCGCTGTTTTCCCCATGGTGAGAGCTGGGCTTGGCCTCTCCCACATCTAAGGACCCTGGGCAACCCACTGGACTGCACACCACGTGTGACGCTCTACTTTACCAAATGACAGTGTGGTTTCCCGGGCCACTGCACGCACAGCCTCCAGGTCAGACTGGCACAGGCTAGCGATCTGATCAATGCTTTCAATGCCCTGTTTGAGGTTAGGAGAGAAAGGGTCCATTATGGAATGTTTTCAGTAGGAGGTAGGATCCACTTTTATCAGCCCTGCAGGACCAGCCACTTCCTTTTCTTAGGGCTTCCAGGTTTCTTAGGCACTTGTGGCCTCAGATTTGGTAGAAGTGCCTTTGGACTTTGGAAGCCTCTCATCTTTCAGTCCTGACACCTGCTAGCAAACCAGGCCATTAACAGAACTTGTCTTTGTAGATGCCTTCTGAAAGACCCGAATTGAAAATGAGAAGACCTGCTGCCTTCTGGACCTTTCTACCTCCTCCCAGCACTCCTCCAGGGCAGCCTATGCCAGGAGAATCAGGGCCCGATTCAAACACGTGCCTAGGGGTGTGCTTCTATAGGCGAAGGACTGGCGTGCATCGCAGCGCCCTCTGCTGGGTACCCTGCCCTCTCGCTGGTTTTCTGATTATGACCAGGTGCTCTTCCTAGAATTTCCTGTTGACTCCTTTCCCAGAATGGATAGGGTGAGCAAGTTAGTCTGTGTTGAACTATCATTTAGCAAATGAGCAATGATGTTTTAGAATGAGAATTCCAAACGCAGGTGAGGTTGCGGTAAAGCAAGCATCCCCTCACATCCTCGGGAGTGTAGATGAGTGGGTTCCATCAAAAGTCTCAAAAACGCTCATATTCTCTGGCCCTAGAGTGAAACCTGGCGAGTCTAGCTTAAGGAAATAATTCAGAACTCCATGTTTTTTAAAACTTTATGCACAAAGATGCTCATAATAATATTACTTATGATAAAGATGGATGAAAAACCTGCAATGTCTACAATATAAGAGTGGGTGAGTAGGTCAAGTTAAGGTATACATTTGGTAGACACTTCCTAAAGAATTGTAAAGTGCTGCTAGTCTAATACAAAAGTCCTCATTTTGTTCACTGTTTTTAAACTATGTTTAATATGATCAACGATTTTAAATGCTCATACACAACCACAAACAAAAAAAGAAATATACCAAAATGTCAGTGGTAGTTTTCTGTGAAGTACTAGGATGACGGATAACTTTTTTACATCTTTGTATTTTATATTTTTTTTTTTTTTTACAATGAGCTTATTCTACTTAAAATTTTTTTTAATTGATCATTTTAAAGCATATAATCCAAGAGCTCAGAAGTGAGGCCCTGGGGCCACCTGCGACTTCACACAGAGCCAGAGCAAATGTTCGCTAAGCCTTGTGACAGAACCTGTGCTGTCAGAGTCCCTGTTGGTGAAGCTGACGACTGCTGCTCTAAAACCACTTGTTCAGGCGGTGTTTTTTTGTTGGCAGTGATTTGTTTTTCCCCTGTTTTGGTCTCAGTGGAATCGTTTTGAGGTTAACTAACTAACATTAACCACGAGCAGCCTTCTCTATCAGTCCCTAGTGAGGAAACATTCAGCTCACCTTGAGGTGTTTGAGCGCCATGCACGCGGCCTGCTGGAGTTCGGTGTCATTCTCGGTCAGGGCACTGGTGTAGAAGAGCACGGCCTAGGGGGTAAGGTGCCAGGAGTGGCACAGGCAACAGCACGGGGCCAGGGGTCCCAGGTTATCACCCTCCAGATGCTGACCTAAGGCAAGCACTTCCTACCTTTTTCTAAACAAAGTTTAGGATGTGATCTAGTAATCTTTGGGCCAAGTATACACCATCATAAGATGTATACTAGAGTGTTTAATTTAGACCTAAAAAATGATCCCTGGGCTGATGGTAATAAAATGAAAAAAGCTCTTTTTGTCTAATATTTCAGAAACACATTCTTAAACTGCTGTCTGTATTCAATGGTACTTCAGAGAGTTTGTGGAAAAATAGAATTAATAATAATACAAATCTTTTCATGAACTTTTTTTTTTTTTTTAAAGATGACCAGTAAAGGGATCTTAACCCTTGACTTGGTGTTGTCAGCACCACGCTCAGCCAGTGAGCCAACCGGCCATCCCTATATGGGATCCGAACCCATAGCCTTGGTATTATCAGCACCAACTATCTCCCGGGTGAGCCACGGGCTGGCCCTTTTCATGAACTTTTTGAAGAACATTTGTAAAATGCCAAATCAGAGAAATCAGATGTCTGCCTTGGAACAACAAGAATTGAACGTAGGGTGGCCAGTTAGCTCCATTGGTTAGGGTGCAGTGTCATAACACCAAGTCAAGGGTTTGGATCCCTGTACTGGCCAGCCGCAAAAAAAAAAAAAAGAATTGTACATACAGAGGAAGTTCTCTGTAGGCTGAAAACAGGCAAGGCAGTTTTTAAAAGGATTTTTAAAAATTACTTGCTTTTGACACACAACTATTTACAATTCAATAGGATGTCTGGGATTGCTTCAAAATGATATGGGGGGAGTAGATGGCAGAGAACGGGCAGGACTGGCCATGGGTTGATTGTGGTTGGGCTTGCGTGAGTGGTATGTGTGGATTCTGCTGCTCTGCCTACTGTTGTGTGTGTTCAAAAGTCTCCAAATAAAGAAGTTAAAAGTAACCACAAAAGGTATATGTGCTCCAAGAAGGACGGTTAGCAACATAACGAGATTTCCTCTCTGGTCCGGAGCTGAGACCAAAGGTGTAGAGGATGGCCTCAATACCATCCTTCCCCAGCCTGCTCAGGGTCTGGTACCAGGCTGGCCAGTTAGCTCAGCTGGTTAGAACATGGTGTTGATAATACCAAGGTCAAGGTTTGGATCCCTGTTACCAGCCAGCTGCCAAAAAAAGCGGGGGGGTCTGATGCCTTAAGTATATAATAGTCACAAGATCCAAGAACTGAAAAGGCAGAAGGGTGCAATCTCTTGGTATTTAAGTGGACTGAACACAGTGAACCATTACCGTCCAGCCAGGAATATTAATTGGAAGTAAATGAGGATGAACATCAAAACTAAGAAAAACATTCAACGTGCAGGTGACATCTCACACCAAACAGGTATGTTGCTTTAGAAACATCAAGATGAGTGGGGTGGTATGCTTGCAGTGTGTGGTCATATTTATGCCTCAGGTGGCCCGGCAACCCCAGCCCAGATCCCTTCCAAGTTCATGTTTGGCCTCCCCAGAGCATCCCTAAACCAAAGTATCTCCCAGCGAGTGCAGACCCTGTTCACACACTTCTTTGTACTTTTCCTCCCCCCAGCACACCCCTGCAGCCAGGAGGCTGCCACCTGTCCCTGACACCACCGTACCTTTTCCCGGAAGCTTCTGTTCTTGGCTGCGCTGGCCAGGCAAGTGCTGGCTGCCCTGCACACCCGTGGAGGCCCGTCCAGCTGGAGCACTGCCCAGGCTCGTAAGGTCTGGGGCAGGGGCTGGAGCTGGCCCAGCCGCTTCCCCTGCAGCTTCCTGACTGTCTGCACCTGCTGCGTGCAGTGCAGCTCCTCGATGAGCGTTACTGGAAGACAGGGAAGAAGGGGGCCCCAGGGCCCCGCAGATTGGGGTCGAGCAGTACAGCTGTAGGTTTGTTTGACCTCTGCCATTAGCCACAGACAAATCCCAGAGTAAACAGAACAATCACCAAGGCCCAGTCTAGAGTGGTTTCAAGGAGACCTCCTGGAATCTCTAGGAAGGCTTTCTAGCAAGGAATCAAATACACCCCCAAATTAATAAAACCACAGCCCAAACTTCAGGGGCCCTGGCCAGCTGAGCATCACTGTCCTACCCAGCTTTGACCTCTGTTCTGTGCTTTTTAAAGTCACCTTCCCTTGGAGCTGATCTCATCAAGCCCATCAGCTGAACGTGGAACTTCATGAAATCTGGATTCTCAAAAGAACAGCTGGAGTGGAAGGATGCAGTGGTTCTGGTTTATGACCTGAGAAACTGGCTTCCGATGGCAGGGACAGAGCCCTCCATGGATATTCCTTTGCTATACCTGTGTTGCTTTCAGGACCCCTGCCACCCTCCCCAGCCCCTACCTTCCTTGGTGAGCTGGGCGAAGTGCTTCTCCAGGTCGGAGACACTCTGCTTCTGCAGGTAGCTATGAAACTGGAACCAGGTGATGGTCTGTTCTTCGGGGAGCCCAGCTCCAGCTGCAGGGAGCAGCCCACAGCAGCTGACCACCTGCTCCAGGAGCCTGCGGCACACTGGCCAGACAGAGAGGGCCGTTGAGGAGAAGCCCAAGGACAACAGCAAAGCCTGGTCAGTTCTGGTGGCAAGCGGGCGGGGGTCCCTCACTGGAGAGCAGTGTGCTCCAGCTGAGTCAGGCAGGCTCGCCCCACACCGCACCTGAATCTGAATCCCAGAGGCAGGGCCTGGGAATATGCATGCCACTGCCGTCACCCTTCACTTGCTCAACAGAGAAGAATGCTACAGCTCTGCATTCTGGGGAAGAGTCCAGCCAGCATTTCAAGACGGCTTTTTCAGGCCTTGCCTGCCTACCTCCTCATTAGGTTCTTTCTTTACCCCTTTAAGGCTCTGAGGGGAGGCATGGCATGTGTCCCCAGAAAATGCACCAACCCCTAATGTTTGCCTGCAGCTTCAGGGTGTCACAGACAGCCCAGGAGTCCATCTGTGGAGGCCCTTTCTCTCCCTGGTGAAAGGACGAAGACTTGTAATCGAGCTGATTGACATCCCGATTGATGCCATGAAGATACCCGCAGAGGTGAAGAGAGGGCCAAAGTGAGGCTGGTTGTGACGATACTGAAGACCCCAGAGACTCAGCACAGCCTTTCCTGTGCGCTGGGAGGGGAGGGACGCTACCTATCTCCAGTTGTCCTGGGTATTTCCCTCTGACTCTGTGCAGGAACGTTTTCTTGAGCTGGTTCAGTAGAGTCGTGGCGGGGCAGGACAGGACCCCGCCGGGCCCTGTGCACCCTCGCCACAGCTTCAGGCACCCCTTCCTCCGCGTGGCCTGTGGAATGACTGAAAACGCAGGTTCAGAAACCTGAATGGCAGGTGAGAAGAGCAAGTGACAGGAGCCCAAAGATTTCCCTCCACTAGGCCTTGGGAGCTCAGGGATATTAGGGACGGCGTGGCTAAGTGCAGGGTCCCTTCCCTATATTCCCATGTGATACAGAATGAGCAGCTTTGGCTCTGAGCACACACTGGGCTACCAGCTGCAGTCCTCACAACTCAGAGAGGAGCTACTGTCACCAGCCCTCCTTATGATCGGGAAACCTGAGCTTCCCAGAGGGGAGGGTCCATGGGGGCTGGAGGCAGAACTGGGATCACAGTTCCTGTATCTGAGTGCAGGCTTTGTGCCTTGAATGTGGCCTGGGACTACCTCACCGAACCCTATGCAGTGCACTCCCTGTTATACAGATGGAGAGGCCAAGGCTCACAGAGGTGAATCATCTGCCCAGGGTCACACAGCTGACCAAAGAGCACATGCTGCCTACTCCAAGTCTACCCTGCCTCCTTGCTTCCACCCCATAGTGTGTGTCTCTGGTCCCAGCTCAGCCACTGCCCCCACTGTGGGCTCCAGTTAACTTTGGGTGTCCAGAAGGGAGACAAGGCTCCCTGGGCTTTGATCCCCATCACTGTGTGCCATTCGCACGAGCAGCCTGGAGTGGTGGGCAGTTACTCACTCTCTTCAATGCTTGCCGCCTTGCTGACCTTCTCAAAATCAAGGACAGAAAGCGTCTCCAGAACTTGCTTTTGCTGCGCTGCTTCTTCCAGAAGGCATTCCTGGACCATCTTTGACAAATTAGGGGAGGCCAGTTTCTGGGAAGCAGCCCACAATGCTCTAGGTTACCATAGAATGCACTCTGAGGTCAGCCATCATGACTATGGCCCCCACCTGCCCTGTGCCCATCCCTTCTGTCCCAGTGGTAGCTCCCTGACTGTCACCTGGGGATTCCCCCTTCACCAAGGTGGCAGCACTAATAGGATGCAAGTTGAGCTGCCAAGGCCACCTTTGCCACCAGAAGGGGCCAGCCTGCCTGAAAGTGAAATCAACCCACACTGAAGAGAGAGAGAGGAGAGTCCCAGTCATGATGGCATTTGAACCCCTGGATCCAGCTAGGCCTGAAGCCCACCTCTCAGCCTTTCAATACCATAAGCCGATACATTTTCCTTTTGCTTGAGCCAGTTTGGATTGGGGTTGTGGCATCTACAAATGGAAGAGTCACAGCCACAGCTTTTGGTTCAGGACTTGGGCTACATAAGAGCCATATCCCTATTCATCCAGACCTTGGAACACACCTTCTACAGAGACTGCCTCAATCTCATCACCTCTCGCCCCTCACTGTGCTTCCCACCACCTTTAAGGTCAGCCCTTTACAAAGAGGACTCCCAACCTGTAGCTTGGCCCCCCAGCAAGTCCCCCAGTCTGGGTCCACAGCCACCTGCAGCAGGGCTTTGCAGACTTGGAGGTGGACTGTGAGCAGCACGTCCAGCTCCGGGGCACCGGCTGTGAGCTCCCTGGATGATGCTCTCGATGGCGGTGGGGGCAGGGTCCTGTCCTTTCTGAGTTGGAATGAGAAGAACTGGGTGACCATTCTGGTTAACAGTTTAGCTTTCTCTGCAGGTAGAGGAAACCCCCCCTCCCCGGAGAGATCCAGATCAGGGAGGCCAACTCCAGGTCCCAGGGAAATGGAGTTAAACTGAGAGAAAAGGGAAAGAAGTACAAGGTGGCAACATCTCAGAATAGGTGCTGGGATGGTGTGGGCTCCAGGGCTGGAGTGGGAGGAACAGCTTTCCAGGGTGTCCCAATAGAAGTCAGAAGCCTGAGTTTCAAGCCAATCCCAGCTCCATGACTCTGGACAAGACTGCCTCCCCAGGTCTCAGTTTACTCATCTGTAAAGTGGGGACAGGAATCCCATGCTCAGGGCCATGAGGGGCAAGTGAAATACTGCTGGCAGGAGTGCCTCGCACCATGTCCGCTCCATGGTTGAGGTTGAGCCTGGAGCCCGACTGGCTCTCAGCAGTTCAGAAAGTGACACCTGAATGTGCTCAAGATGCCCTGCCTCCCCATGGGATTATGAGAGTAGAGAAGGATTGTAGACTATATGCTCTTCTGTGCTGCTGAGATTTGAGTGCATGAGAAGCCCTTGTGACCTTTGTGATTGGGGCAGGGGGCAGGTGAGGCTGCTGGACTGAGAAGAAAGGTGTGTCATGGGCGTGGGCCAGTCAGTGGTACAGAGAGAACAGAGAGTATTGGTTACTGCTGCATGGTGGTTATGTACCCAGAGAGGTTCCACTGTGTACTCTACCATTATCTTTACAGATATTAAAAAAAAAAAAAAAAAAGCTCATTCCTTGGAGTAGAAAGCTCAGGGCCAGGGGGGGGTATTCACTTTCTCTTAGTGGTCGCTAAGGACCTCTTGTGCCAAACAGTGGACATGTGGGGATGGGCAGGGAGCACAATAAATCAAAATGAGTATGAATTGGGCCTAGGTCAATGGGAGAAATAGACCAGGAGGCCGGTGGGAAGCATGGAGCCAAGATAACCTGAATGGGGTGCACTCACCCGGGGCCCTGGGATCCCCTGAGCAGGGACAACTCATCTGGGGTGAAGTCCGCGTTGAGGAAGGCGAAGCTCTCCAGGATGCACTCCATCAGGCTCTCAGCAGACGCGTGCTCCTGCTGGGCTCTGCAGGGCTGTGGATGGAGCGGCCAGGCCTCACTTTCTCTTAGTGGTCGCTAAGGACCTCTTGTGCCAAACAATGGACATGTGGGGATGGGCAGGGAGCACAATAAATCAAAATGAGTATGAATTGGGCCTAGGTCAATGGGAGAAATAGACCAGGAGGCCGGTGGGAAGCATGGAGCCAAGATAACCTGAATGGGGTGCACTCACCCGGGGCCCTGGGATCCCCTGAGCAGGGACAACTCATCTGGGGTGAAGTCCGCGTTGAGGAAGGCGAAGCTCTCCAGGATGCACTCCATCAGGCTCTCAGCAGACGCGTGCTCCTGCTGGGCTCTGCAGGGCTGTGGATGGAGCGGCCAGGCCTGAGGGCAGTGCCGGGCCCCACCCCACCAGGACACTGGTCAGGGCCTCACCTTCAGGCCTCAACAGTGTCCTGGTCACAAGCACAATCCCTGCCACTGGCCCAAGTTGGGGTAGCTACAGGCACAGGGCATGGCATTCCCCAAGGTACCTCCTGAATGACCTGTGACAAGGTAGCAAATCTCAAGGGAGACAGATCTCAAAAGCCTCACCTGGGCCTCAAACGTGCATGGAAACAGAGCAAATTACAGGAATGAGTGATCGGTCCAGATAGAGGCTATGGAAAGCAGGATAGCAGGTGACTCCCCAAAGAGGGGGAGCTGCTGCCCTGCTCCAGCTGACACCTGTCACTTGGGAATGTGGAACCAGTATTGCCAGGTCAGTTTTGTAAGAAAATCCAGAGACCTGTGTTTTTATGGGAAACCACCCAGTTTTTAAATATCCACAACACATTTCAAATCGTTTTCAAAATATGGCGTAGGTTAGGCCAAACACCTCCTCAGGATGCTCAAAAGCTGCAAGGTAAGCCTGTGGATTCCAAGTTTTTCTTCTCCAAGGGAAATGTGGAAGGAAGGGAGCTTCTAGTCAGCCCCCAGAGGGGGAGAGTGTTGGAGCCATGCCCCTGCCTCTGTCAAGTCATCAGAGCCTCCCAGTGGCGGCCCCCTTTCTGGAGATTTCTGTCTTTGTGTCCCTGACCCAGGTTGACTCCAGGGCTGGTTCTTATCCCCATCCCCAGCACACCCAATCCTTGTCCCACACAAAGTCCTAAAAGTTAGGCCCAAAGACAAGACCTTGAGCAACAAGAGAATAATGGGCTAGTTGTGGAAATTTCATTTCTTGATAGAACAAAAATGTATGTACTATATATGTATAAATGTGCATATATATATATATATATGTATATTCACATACATACATATAGTCTGTTCTCATTATTCAAGGTAGTTATGTTCTATAAAGTGAAGCAAAAAACTGAATTAGAAAATACTGAACCATGACTCCTAGGGGAAATGCTGGGTTAGGTTCCTACAAACCCCTGGTCACAGCATTTTCATCAAGCAATCAATACAGAAACTTGTATGTGTGTTTCTGGTTAAAGACACCTTGTTTAATATATAGTGTCGATTCATTAACTGAACTCACGGCCAGCAGCACTAGACCTCACGCCTGAAGGAAGCTCATCGAACACACAGATTTTCTAAGGTCCATCACAGCCTTGTTGTGCTTAGGAACACTCAACAGCACTGACACACTGTGCTTGGAAGGCATCTAAACAGTGAAGCCATCAACCAAAAGCACGAAAATTTGAAAAACATGGCACTGAATAGAACGTGAGAAGGACACTTGCAGGATGAGCGCTGAAGCAAGAAGGCAGAGAGTTCAAACTCGGCGGGGAAGGTGCACGTTGGGCAGGTCATATTTTTCGCCACTCTATACTTCCCCCCGAAGGACTGCAGAAGCACCTCGGGTATTGATCTGGGGGTTCCAAATAAATTTTAGCCGGCAGGTGAATTCGAAAATACAAGATCCATGAATAAGGAGTATCAACTGTGTGTATGTCTGTATACGGATACACACACGAGGGAAGTTTGTGGAAAAATAGAATTAAAATATGGATCTTCTCATGAACTTTTTGAAGTACCCTGGTGTGTGTGTGCGTATATATATGTCTGTGTGTATATATACACAGTCACACACACATATGTTTCCACATAAGTGTGTGTAATTCCTCTTTAGAAAGTTCAACTAAAACTGTATAGTCATTTTTATTGTTCTGACTTGGTTTGCCAAAGTAAAAAGTTCCTCAGAGATCTTTAAAATTATTGCATTATTATGATTTTAAGATTTTTATGTAAAGTGGTTGTAACTTTTCAATGTGACAGAAATTGTGTGCATGCTGACTCAAACCGTTACGAAAAGCCTGTTAAAAAGTACAAAGAGGTGCTGGCCAGTTAGCTCAGTTGGTGAGAGTGTGGTGCTGTAACACCAAGGTCAAAGGTTTGGATCTCCATACCATCCAGCCACCAAAAACAAAATAAAAAGTACAAAAAATCATTTCTTAAATTTTTTTCTTGAAATTTTCAGGTAGTAAAAAAATATATGTTTAACAAAAAAGAAAAGAAAAAAAGAAATTTTCAGGTAGGCCTTTTAAAGACCATAGCAGTGCTAAACAGTGAACTTTTTTTTTAAGTTGCTGGATATAAAATGAGAAATCAAACTTTCTTTCTCTTGTGCTGATTTGTAATATTGAGTGAGAATAAGGATAAAACAACTGAAGCTAATTTTTGAAGAGAGCTTTTAAACTGGTTCAGTGCCGATGGGTGTCTTACACAAAAGAGAGTGGTTTCATAAATGGATGTATCAATAGGTGCTGGTGTTACACATGTTATTTTATGTGCATTTAAACTTATGTAGACAAAAAGTGGAATAGAATCTACCCAGGCCAGCACCTCTGAGAGCCACTTGAGCCCTCCCGTGAACGGAGAGTAGGCCCTGGTGTGAGCCCTGTCGAGGAGAAGGTTTAATGTGGGGTGTGTGGATGAGGCAGGCAGGCGGCTGCATGGGGCTACACTCCAAGTTTGGTTCTTAATGCCAAGCCACAGCTCTACCCGCTCTGGTCAGAAGATGCGAGAAGGGACCAGGTTCTGGCTGGGCATTGAGCAGGTTATTCACTGTGAGCCCCAGCTTCCTCTAACAATCCTCAGCCCCATGAGGGCTCTTGTTATCCTCTGTCCTGACAGATGAGGACACCAAGACCCAGAGAGACATCTCCCACCCAGATCACACAGAGGTAAGGCGAGGATGCCAGCATAGGTTGGCTGTCCTCAGAGTCCACTCGCAGTTGTCACACCATCAGCAGAGCAGGGCCTTTGCCCAGTGAAGGGTGGGCATACCTTCAGCCGGTCCCTGAGGCTGAGGACCTGGTACTCCAGCTCCCGGAGCTGGGGTTGGGCGGGGTCCATGGACCTCAATAACTCCAGGACCTCCTGCAGAGGCCTCTCAAGGGCCAAGCCAGGCCCATCTGCTCTGTCCCTGGTTTCTCCTTCATCCCGGCCTTTCTCACTATTTGGGATTGTGCAGTTGTGGAATGGTAACTCCAGGACCTCCTGCAGAGGCCTCTCAAGGGCCAAGCCAGGCCCATCTGCTCCGTCCCTGGTTTCTCCTTCATCCCGGCCTTTCTCACTATTTGGGATTGTGCAGTTGTGGAATGGGAGGCCCTGGGGTAGGTTGGGGCTCTCTACTCCCAAGTTTCTACAGTCGGGCTGCTCCACAAATGAGCCTTCCACCAGGTGGGCCATGTCTGGCAGAAGGCCCGGGGACGGGGGGTCCTCCTGGGCCTCCTCTTCAATGGAGGCATTGAGGCCAAGTGCCAAGGGCAAGAACCCCACATCTGAGGTGGAGGCTGACGTGCTGGTCTCGGTGTCTCGGGGGTCCTCGGAACTGAAGGAGTCCATCTCAGGCAGCTCCTGACTTCGGCTCCACAGGCTGGAACCCCGAAGGTCACTGTTGGACAGGTAGCTGAGGATGGAGGTGGCCCTTGGCCCACCTAGCAGCAAGGCCTCCTGTGCTGGCTGCTGCAGGACAGACTGGAGAGGGGGACACTGAATCAGCCTCACCAGACACTCTAGGGACCAAGGCGTCGAGACCCCCAGAGGGACTCCCTCCACAGACACCTGCTCTGCATACCCACATTCTTGGGATGACAGGTCTGCCATGGCGACCAGCATTCCAGGGGTGTAACAGGACCATCACCTCTCTGCCGCTATCCCCCATCCTCAGTCTTCTCACTCATTCCTCCCAGCCTTGCAGCCTCGCTGTTCTCACGCCCTCCAGGCTCATTCACACATTCCTTCCCCACGACCTTTGCACTTACTGCTCTCTGCATAGAACTTTCTTCCTCGTATGCCTTCATGACTTGTGCCTCACCTCCTCAGGGCCTTACTCAGATGTCACCTTTCCTGGGAACTCTTCTCCAGACTCTTTGTTTTAAGTGGCATCTCCCACCTTGCTCAGCAGTCCCCTCCCCTTCCTGATCTACTACCTCCCATGGTCTGCATGCCCTGCAGGCTCTGGCTGTGCATTTCTCTGATTCTGATGTCTATTTCCCCCATAGAATTTCAGCCCCCTGAGGGCATAATCCTCACCTGGCCTAGATCAGAGCCTAGTGTATAGTTTTGAATGAGGGAAGTGAACAAATGAATGAGTGACCTCTCTCTCTCTCTCTCTCTCTCTCTCTCACACACACACACACACACACACACACACACACACACACACACACACACACACACACACACACACACACACACACAGGTGTTTGTTACCATAGAACAGCAGCAGCTGTCATTAAGCATTCTCTTTCCCTGCCCTGCTCCAAAGGCCTTCATATAATACCTCATTAACCCTCACCACACCCCCTGAGGGCCTTGAGGGTGACAGGAGGTTTGCCCAGCTCAGTGTCACCCTGCCCCTGGGCTGGACAGGATGTCTTTGTTTTTGTCTCTGTTCTTGGGGCTCATTGGGAATGAGCCTGGCGCCACCCCACCTACACAACAGCCACCAGGCACGTGCCAGTGCCCAGCCACAGCTGAGGGGCACCAAGCTCCCTGGGACCCCAGGACCCTCACTGGGGCACCTGCTTTGAGGAGATACTCGCACTCATGTAAAATGACATGTGTACAAAGTTATTTACTGCTCTCTTGTTGGTAATAGCAAAAAACTGGAAACAACCTCCATGTCTTGTTAAATAAAGTATGATACAGCCGAATGCATACGACTGTACCGTGTAAACAGAAAATGAGGAGGCCTCTGGGGAGTGACAGAGGCCAATCCAAATACATCATTAGCTTAAGAAGACCACTGCGGAACAAAAGGCGGAAGAGAATGCACATCTGCTTGTGGCTGGCATAGGGCGGGCCTCTGGAGAAATACAGAAGAAATTCGTGTAAACAGAAAATGAGGAGGCCTCTGGGGAGTGACAGAGGCCAATCCAAATACATCATTAGCTTAAGAAGACCGCTGCGGAACAAAAGGCGGAGGAGAATGCACATCTGCTTGTGGCTGGCATAGGGCGGGCCTCTGGAGAAATACAGAAGAAATTGACAACAGTAGTTGGCTCTAAGGAGGGGATCTGGATCCCTGGAGATCACGGGAAAGAGATGTTTTACTGTATACTGTCAAGTAATACTGCTAGGGCCATATATTAAGTTTAAAACAAGGAAAATGAGGCCAAGGCCATGGCTGGAGTACAGAACTATCCAGAGAGCCCCGTTCCAGTCACCCAGGAAAACCAGCCAAACCCAGGACCAATTCCAGAGCCCCCAGAATGAGGAGGCCAGCAGCAGAAGAAGAGAAAGCACAGAAGAACACCCAGGATAACCCCAAAGGGAGGCTGAACCCATCACTTGCTACATTTGGGGGTGCCAGGCTGTGCAGCCCAGCCCCCACTTGCTGCCCCTATCCCAGTTTAGCCACAACATCCCTGCCCCCAGGGAGGAGGTTCACTCACCAGGTAGTATCTCTCCCGGAAGCTGGGGGTGCTTGGGGGTGTCCAGTTGTACAGGGATCCCTTCCTGCTGCCCACAGAAAACTTGCCCATGGGGCTGGGTGACACCAGGAGGCTCTCGGTATCAAATGGGCTGGAGGAGAGAGAACAGAAGGGCAGTTGTCATCGGTGCCCAGAAAGCCACCTCAGGCTCAGATGGGATCCGGGGGCTCTGTGGTTACAGAGCAGTTGTCTTCATCTCAAAAACAATAACAGGTGAGCACATGTGTGTGCAAGGAGCTCTACTAAACTTGTTACACAAATCCTTCTTTCAACCCTCATGACAACCTTCTGTGGCCAAGAAAATTATTTATAGAGGAAGATATGAAGGCTCTGAGAGACAAGTAACTTGCTTAGACAGTGTCACAACCAACAACAAGGGACACAGCTGAATTGACATGCAGATTTCTCTCACCCCAGAGCCTTAGAGATCATCTAAACATGATGCTTACTCTGCTTACTGTGCTTGAAGGACTTAAGAGGGAGTGGAGGCTTGGGGAGGGCCAGACCTTGCCCACAGTCACAGGCATGGCCCACAGGACACTAGGACCCATGGTCTCAACCCCCTTGGAAACCTTGCTCAGCCTCCCGCCGCCCTGAGGGCCCCTAGCCAGATGGTGAAGGATGGCAATTGGCCACCACACATGAGTGACACTCCTCCCCCCCTTAGAAGCCCCTTCTAGAAGCTCAGCAGGCCAGCAGTGGACACTCACTTCTGCCATTTTCTGGGTAAAACATGTTGGATCCCTCACTTGTAAAATGATTTCCCTTATAGAAGGACATCTGTGTTGAACATGCACAGGTAAGGGTGGGAATCCAAGCTGAACGTGTGAAAGCAACACGGCAAGTGATGCATGGCCTGGCCCTCCCCAGCCCTGCCCTTGCAGCAGCCAGATCCTGGAAACCCTCCCTGCCTCATGAAACCTGCTCGCCTGGCTCTGGGCCCAGCCTGACCACGAGGGCCTGAAGCTCAGAGGCACTGCAGGTGCCTCCTTGTGAGCCTTCCTCCCCTCCTGGGGCACCTGCAGGACCAGCAGGGCTCCTGGGTCCTTGGAGTTGCCTGGCTGAGGGTTGGACGGTGCTGAGATGCCTGCCCTGTTCACTTGGGGGGTTCCCCAGTCAGAGGTGTTCTCAGCCCCACTAGACAGATGAGGACCCTGGGGCTGCGGTGGCCACTCGCCTGAGTCAGACCCCGAGGCTCAGACACCCACCCCAACGAGAAAGGTGGAGACCAGCCCCAAGTGGTCAGAGCAAGCAAGCACAGAACAGAGGAAGTGCCTTTCATCTCACCATACCTGCCCTAGGACTTAAGAGGGAGCCCCTGGAAACACGAGTTTTTGTCTGTAAGAAAGCACTGCTGCCAACAAACAAGTACCTGAAATGTGGTGCAGGACAGATAGCCGCACTGGGCGGAGGTGTTCCCATAAGTCTCGTGGGTCTGCGGCCCAGAAAAGGCTCAAGGTGACCACTCAGCCCTGTGACTGGTGGATGGCAGGGGTCAGCCAGGAACGAGGTGGCAGGAGTGGCTGGGGGGCCCTCCTGGCAAAGGCCAGCCTCCTCCAAGGGGCAAAGCCCAGGAGGCCAGCAGGACTTTAAGAGCCACTTTCCAGAAGTGAGGACAGAATTGAAACTCAGAGGGGCGGGCGGGCAGAGTCCGCAAGAAGGCCTAGGCCCTGGCCTGTCTGTCTGATGGGAGGGCAGCTGCGGTGAGGATCAGGGAGGGCGGGGATGCCCACAGAGCACGCTGGAGCGGGGGCCAGGCCCCATGTGGTCAGGCCTCTGGTGCTGGGAGACTGGTGAGGCCATAGCCTCCCTGCTGAGCCGGGGCAGGAGTGTGGGGGTGGCAGCATCTGGGCAGGGGCTAGTCCCAACTCACTTCCACAGCACCTCCAGCTGCAGCTTGATGGTGCCCAGCTCTGTGATGTCCACCACGATGACCTGTGGCCGCGTCGTGAAGAAGTCAGCAATGTCACACGTCACGGTGCCCACCACCAGCGAGCTCAGGCCCCGCATCTCTGTCACCTGGGGGAGGAGATTGGAGGGTGGTGTCTGGCCGAGCACCCAGGGCACCCTGGCCCTTCCCCAGGCCCACTCCTACCTTGATGTCGAAGTTCTCGTGCAGGGTGGGGATGAAGGCCTTCTCCTCCTCGTCCCAGGTCTGGCTGTCATCCGACTCGATCCGGCCCTTCAGCTTCCAGCGCTGTCGGCCCAGGCGCATGAGCACCTGTGGGCAAGGCCCAAGAAGAGGTGCATCGGCCACCCCTGTGGGTGCCCACTCCATGTCTGTCTGGGGCCCTCCCTGCCAGACAGAACCCCAGCTGGGACCCTAGTTCCCAGAAGCTCCCATCCCCCAAAGGCCTGGCTGGGACCCTGATGACTGACTCCAGAGGGTGGCCATACCTCATACTGGTCTCCGGGACACAGGCGTGCGTAGCCCACCAAGCCTGGAACACAGAAACCAGCTAATCTTGCTTCGGCCCTCTGGTCCTGCCTGGGGATCACAGGCCCTCACTGGGGGACCCCCACTGCGTGTGGGCATTAGCTTCGGGGGGGGGGGGGCTAAGCCATCATGATTGACAATGGACAGGACGGTGCCTGGGCCCTCACACCCAAGGCTCAGAAAGGGTTGGGACTTGCCTATGGTCATGTGTCACATGAGTGCAAAAGCCAGGGCTGGGCCCAGACACCCCCGCCCTCAACAAAAGTCTTAGGGTCCCCAAAGAGGCCTGACACCCCATCCAAACTGGCTTCTGCCACCCACTCTCAGTCCTGTTACCTTTCATCCTGACATGGAACTCTCCTAGGTGTACCTCCAGGGCCCCCTCGATGAGCCACATGTCCTGCAAAGCCCCAACAAGGTGGCTCAGCAGCCTGCTTCCAGAGCCAGGCCATGGGGGAAAAGGGGGTCCACTCCCCATCCCGGCATCCAGACAGAGGCTGGTGGGCAGAGAGAGATGCTCCTTGGGGACCAGGAGCCTCCCCCAGACTAGGCTAGACCCTCACTGCCCCTGCCCACGGCCCACCTCGGTGCACTCGTGCAGGCTGCGGCCCAGCTCCTGCAGGCTGTCGCGGGAGGCGCGGCTCGGTGGACACCTGGAGAAGGCCCGCTGCATGTTGCAGGCACCCTCACGCAGGCGGGACTGGATGCAGTAGCCCTCATAGAGTTCGTCCACCTGCGGCGGGCACACAGGTGTTCCTACCCCTTAGTGAGGGCAGCGCCCACACCTGCCTGGCCACTCCTCCACCTCTGGGAGAGGCTGTCCCTGAGCTAACGTTCCTCCAGCCCAGCCCGTGGTGGCAGTCACCACCCTGCACTGTCACACTCATAGCACTGGTCCCCTGCACCCCATAGAATGTGAGTCCACAGGGGGGAACAACGTCTGTCTCATGCACTTCATCCCCCAGCACCTGGCAGCCACTGGCACACAGTCGGTGCACAATAAAAACTAGTGAAATAGATGAATGAATACATAACTTCCTCCCTCTCAGCCTGACTTCAATTGTAAAACAGGGGAGGTGGGTCTGTGATAGATATCCTGCCCACCCAGTGGGCTACTGATCATGAAGCATGATCATGAAAGAGGTTGCAGACTGTAAAACTTAACGGACTTGGTATGCAGTCTCAGGCAGATCCTTGTTCTCTGGGCCTCTACTTTCCCATCTGTACAATGGGGTGGTTGGACTGAACCTTCCTAGCCCTCTAAGATGAGGTCTTTTGGTACAAATCAAGGGTAGAGCCCCAGTCTGGGGGAGCCCCAGCCATCAGCACCCTCACTGCCACCTCAGGGCTGAGCCCCTGCAGTCCTTCAACTGGCCTGAGGCCAGGGGTCATCTGTAGTGACCCACCACCTCCCTCACCCCTGCTCATCCTCAGTTTTCTCTAGCACTCTGGCACCAGTACCTTACTCCTGTTCAGAGGGAGCCTCCCCAGCTCCTGCTAACCCAGCTGAGGCCCCATCCCCACCCTGTGACACCCGGGCACCGGCTGACCTTGCTGATGTGAAACTCCATCTTCCTAATGTGTCTTTCCACAGAGCGTGTTTGCTTCTCCCAGGAAAAGAGAAGATGCTTTCAAAGTAGCCTGGGCCAGCCCCGCCAGCCCTGCCACCCTCCTCCAGGTCCTAACACAGGGAACTGGGTCAATGCCAGGCCAACCCCTCCCCATCCTTGTAAAATGGGAGGAAACCCAGGTATTCAGCCTGAGGACAGCCGGGCTGATGGGATGCGGCCAGGCCCAGCCCACCTTGGTTACGATGTGTGTGCGGAAGGAGAAAGTTTCACTCACCTTGTCCAGGTCATAATAGAAAGCCTGTGGGGGAGAAAAGGAGAGAGGGAGAAGGTGTTAGCGTCCTCCCAGATGCTCCTCCAAGGCCCGTAAGGCTACATCCCAGGGGCTCCTAGGCTCAAAAGATGAAAAGCTAGTGCCTGCAGCTAACCCTGCTCTGTCCTCTGGGGTCTGCAGCCAGCAAGCTGTTGTCCAGGCCAAGGAGAAAGAGTGATTAAACACATGGGATGAGGCAGTTCTAGGTCTGCTATTTTTCAGCTATGTGTCTTGGGCAAGTTACCCAACCTCTCTGAGCCTGTATTTCCTCATATCTAAATGGGGTATCGATAGCACCTACCCTATACAGTTGCTGTGAGGAGTGAGGGACACAGTAGGCACTCAGCAAAATGGGGACCATTGTGATTTGATTGTTTAAGAGATGACTTCAGCCATGAGCAGAAGAACTTGAGAGTGGGAGGCTTGGAGAGGTGGCGGTGACCCTTAGGAAATGGCGCATTCCTGAGGCCATCCATGCTGGGGCCAGGGTGCAGCCAGTGGAAAGGCTTTATGGTCAGGAGTAGGCAGACCTTGCTATAAAGGGCCAGATAGTAAATATTTTAGGCTTCCAGGCCCGCTAGTCTTTGTTGTGACTTCACAAGTCTGTCATTGTAGCATGACAGCAGCTGTGAACAGGTATGACCAATAACCTCTATTTACAAAACAGACTTGTCTCCTGATTAGAGTCGCTGTGTCAGCCTGGAGGGATTTCCATGAGGTTGGAGATCCACTGAGTAGGAAAAGTAAGATGTTGAGAATACATAAATTACGATTCCCTTTTTATAAGATACCAATGAACCCAAAACTTTTATATTTACTTACACTATTATGTGACCAGGGAGAAAAATATGAAAGGATGAATGTGAGATTGTCCTCGAGGGTTAAACAGGGTGGGATGGGGAAGATTTGGGGAGGGATAATTAATTGAAAGAGAAAGAAGGATGAAATAAACCCCTCAAAAGTCTACATTTTCTCATGTATGTTTTAATGTGAAACAGTGCATGCAAGATCATGAAATTAGAAATGTATTTAAGATATGAAGAAATAGGATGATCCCAAGCTTTTGAAAAGAAGAGCGCATGCACAGCAACTTCCTGGAAACTGACGTCTTGTTTAAATGAGAACCAGCAGCACCAGGGAAGCAGGACCCTGCATCTGTCATCTTGCTGTATGGTCCCCGAGCGGTGACCCTTCCCTGGCCTTGGCGTGCCCATCTATGAAATGGAAGCAGCTAAAACATACACAGATGTACATACTCGCCTACCTCAGAGTTACTTCTAGAACAGAGAATGGGGCACTGTGGTGTGGGAACCTCTGCACACATATGTGAGGGGAGGGAGTTGGACTGGGAATAGGGGTAGATCTTGGCAGCATCTCCTCCCATGATCTGTGCTGGCTGCCATCGACAGCCCACCAAGGGCGAGGTGTAGTGGAGATTTCCAGGCCTGTCCCTTCCCAAGTCGGCTGGCACACCATGAGGCTGGGACCCCTGCATCTCCTACCCAGCCGACTCGCAAGAGCCAGAATATAGAAGTGTCTGGAAGCTATTTTGATAGAAAAATTAATCTCCCTCTCCCTCCGCCCCCCTGCCACTTTTCTACTCCCTCACTTAAGCTGGTGGCCTGCTCTGCACTGCTTTGGAGGATGGATGCTGGAATATGCTGGCTAGGAGGAGCATCCTACAAGCAACTAAGTCACATCCACTAGGGATAGGTGGGTTTTCCCAAGGCAGCAGGGGGCTACAGAAGAGGAGGCTGGGAAGGACTTCCTAGACTAGAAAGAAAGATCCTCCCTGCTGCAGGGATGGAGGTTCCTGAGCAGTGGGATTCTGACAGTGTTACTAGAGAAAATACAGAACACCAAGTTAAGATTTAAATTTCTGATAAACAAGGGGCTAGAAATAAATTTCCAATAAACAATGAATTTTTTTTTAGTGTTAAGTATATCCCAAGGATCACATGGAATACACTTATATTAAAAAAATTATTCGGTGTCTGAAAAATCAAATTTAACTGGGCATCCTATTTTTTTGTTTTTGGCTTTGTTTTTTGCTAAATCTGATGCTGCTAAGGGGAAGGTAAAAGCCCAGAGCAGGTGGGCCTTGGGCTACACAGGGCCCAGGGCCAGCCTCCAAGACACTTGCCCACGTGATGGCAGGAAAACTACCGAGTGGCTGGACGTGGGATAGACATGTGGCTTGATCAAGGACAGTATCAGGAGCCACTGTGCGATTCGATGGCTGACCCACATTCCTGGCACATAAGCTTCCCTGATTCCAGGGTGCCTCGATGGTCAAGCTCTATAAAATAGGACCATCTAAAACATGCGAACTTCAGTACACTCACCTACCTTAGAGTTACTTTAGAACTGAGAATGTGAGGTGGGACTGAGACGGCTGCACCCCCCTGTGAGTTAAATCCACCGGGGTCAAGTCAAGTTCTATAAAATAGGACCATCTAAAACATGCGAACTTCAGTACACTCACCTACCTTAGAGTTACTTTAGAACCGAGAATGTGAGGTGGGACTGAGACGGCTGCACCCCCCTGTGAGTTAAATCCACCGGGGTCAAAATGAGCTTAATTCGTCGCAAAATAAAGGGTTTATCCCATAAGCCTCTAAGTTCTGGGACAGAGATTCACACCCATGATGTGGGCTGGGGGAAGGGAGGGCCTCTCTCTGAATCTCAGCCATGGCTGCTTAGTGGGAAGGGGCGGAGAGGGGTCTCACCAGCCTGGAATTCCTCCGGGTGTCTTTGTGGCGTCCAGACAGGTAATCCAGCTCAGCCTGCTGGATGCACAGATACTCTCTGCAAGAAGAATGAGGAAGAGTTCTAAGTTATAAAGGAACAAGAAAAGGAAGAGAAACTGGTCAGGTGATCAGCGTCCCAGTGTGGAGGCCACCCTGGCTCTCAGCAGGGCTCAGAGGCCACAGGAAGCACGGCCCGGCTCACTGGGCCTCCAGCTCCTCACGCCATGGGCTGCCTGCCTGGCCTGGTGCAGAATGGGTTCCAGGGAAGTTCTCGGCTCATTCCCCAACCAGCCCCACAAGCAGAACCTACTGTCACTGTATGCATTTTAAAGATGGGCAACGACCCTCGAAGGCAGCAAATGATCAGGCCTAGGGAAGAGGCTGAACCCGACTCTGAAACCACACAGTGGCCTCCAGAGGCCAAAATCTGCCCCCCCCCCCAACCATACTGTTCTCTCTCCCAAGCTGGGGCTGAGCAGGTGGGGAGGTCAAAGTGACAGGCCTCCCTCATGGCCAAGGGCAGGCCGTCCTACTGACTGCATGCACGGAACTGAGGACCACACAGAGAACTGGAAAACAGTCTGGAAAGCACAGAGGAAGCTGTGACCAGGAAACCTGGGGTCTGGACATGGGGGCTGGGGTGGGCGGGCCCAACCTGCTCCATCATGGATTTGCTGGGTTGCCCCAGGAAGATCACTCACCCTCTCTGGGCCCCACTTACATCACCTCAAAAGTAGAAGGGCAGCTTCTGCCAGGTCACCATTTGCTCAGGGATTGGGCTCCCCAGGTAGAAAGGGGGTGCCACTGGCCCCAAACAAGTCTCAGACATGTGGTCCTTAGGGGACATCAGAAGCTGGCCTGGGAGATGAGCCCCTTGGGGGCAGGCCTCCACCCTCCACACACACCCCCAGTTCCCACGTGCAGCAGCACCGGGCAGGGGCAGTTGGGTTGTGGGAGGTAGGCCCGGGACACCCCTGGTATAGGGAGCCAGGTCCCTGTGGGAACAGGGGCGTGACATTTTCCCTGAGGCCAGGTGGGACAACAGAGCAGCTCAGCGTTGGCCCTGGAGTCGTTTAGTGGCTTCTAATCCCACTGCCTGCTTACTGGCCATGGGATCCTACACAAATTGCTTCCCATCTTTGGAACTCAGTTTTTTCATCTGGAAAAGAAGGCTAAACTCATTTTTTTGTAAGGATTCAAGGACACATCGATACAAAGTATCAAGTCGTAGCTGCTGCTGCTGCTGTTGTTGTTGTTAATTAGTGAGCAAGGAAGAGCAGGACACTTAGAGGTCGAGAGCAGGGAAGGGCGTCCCCAGAAGAAGGAACAGCATTTGACTGGGCAAACACCATATGCTGCACTAGAGAGATGGAGAGGCCGCAGCCTCCATGACTGCAATGCTCCCGGGAACTGTTTAGCAAGAACCAAGGCACAGGCACATGAAGGAAGATGGCCTATTTGGGGCTGACACACAGCTAAGGCACAGTGGGAATGGGGAGTGAATAATGAAAGAAAAGTGGGAAAGGCCGAGGGTCAGAAAGGGCACTGGGGCCGAGCCCGTGGCGCACTCGGGAGAGTGCGGTGCTGGGAGCGCAGCAGCGCTCCCGCCACGGGTTCGGATCCTATATAGAGATGGCCGGCACGATGCACTCACTGGCTGAGCGTGGTGCGGCCGGTCACAAAAAGGACAAAAAAAAAAAAAAGAAAAGAAAGGGCACTGAATGCCCTCCCAAGGGCAGTAGGGAGCCATGGAAGAGACTTGAGCACAGGGGGGAGTAGAAGGGTGGAGAAGCGGGGGGCAGGGCTGTGACAGCAGCAAGGAGACTGCTGCAAACAGACTAAGGGAGGGAGAGAGGAGATGCCTGAACCCAGCCATGCGGGGAGGAGGAGAGGGCACGGGCTGAGGAGCATCGAGGGGGTGTTAGTGACCCGCTCGGCAGGCAGCTCCAGCCCACACCAGGTGGGGAGGCGAGGCTGGTGTCGGGGAGGACGCTACCCACGTCAACCAGCTGGGGTGGGCGGTGAGCTGCAGTGAGCAGTAACAAGTGGCCAAGTCCATGTCCCTACTCATGGGAAGCACTGTCCTCAGAGCCAGTGGCCTTTTACTCTTGATGTAGCAATAAAAAGCCTGGAACGCTGGGCTCTCCACCAGTACAGATCTGATGGTGGGAGAATTGATAGAATGACAGCCGAGAGCTGGCGACAGCATGGGGACATTCAATATTGGGGCAAACGGACTGGCAGTGTTGGCGGCGGGGACCCGGGTGCCAGTGTACTTCCTGCCCGGTGCTCAGAGCCCAGGGGTGAAGCTTGGCTGAATGGCAGGTGCTGCCGTCCTGCCTTCCTCTCCCTGACAGGTGGCAAGAAGGCCCAGGCAGGCCCTGTGGGCTGGGGAGGGGGCTGGCTGGTTGGGGCATGGGGAATCAGGTGACAGTGTGCCACTGCCTTTTCCTCCAGCCTTCCAGCAAGGCTGTCCTCCTGAGCTCCTACAGTGGGTTCCTGCAGCTCTGAGGGTGGGATTACTTCTCCCCAAACCCCTGCAGGTGGGGACGAGCTGCCACTTCCAAAGAGAGCCCACTTGACCATGAAGACCTGACGCAAAACAGCGTCCTTTCTCCGTTGCAAGTCTTCTGCTTTGCATGTAAATTACAACTTTTTTAACATAAGAAAGAATGTGTATTTTGAAAACCATTTCGTTCTGAGGTGGTTTACATTTTTCATCAACTCTGGTTTCTTTCTGAGTGATTGGCTGCCTTGTCTATACATAAGGGGTGGAGGTAGGGGAGAACTTGGTGCCACTTTATCTGGGAAAATTACCTGCTGGTGCCAGGTGACAAAGTATGGGTCCTTCCCCGCCCTCTGGTGGCCCAGCCCTATCATCTGGTCCCCATCACCCCTGACCTCACCTCCTCTCCCTCAGCTCTAGCCACGCTGGCCTCCTTGCTGTGCCCCAGGGTCTTTTCACCATTCAACCCCCGCTTGGAATGCTCTTCTCCACTTATCTGCAGGGCTCGCTCTCTAACCCCTTCAGGTTTTTGCTCATATGTCACCTTCTTAGTGAGGCCTCCCTGAACATCATGTTTAAAATGAACCCTCCATGCCTTCTTGCCCTGATTTGGTTTATTCCACAGCACTTACCACCATCTGACACAGAGTGTATTTTACTTATCTATGTTGTTTATAGTCTGTCTCCCCCACACTAGGAGTCAACTCCACCAGGGCAGGGATTCGTGTCTGTTTCGTTCACTCCTGTACCCTGCACCCGGCATCCCATAAGCCCTCCATAAGTATTTGTGGAGTGACTGACTCTTCCTGTTCTGGCCTCTGCCCAGCTAAATCAGTCAGTCTGCTCAAGTGGATCCCTCACTCAGAATCTAGCAGCCCCGATCTCCTGCCCTTGTGCAAAGTCACAGCACAGGCTCCCACCCCAGGCCTTTGCTCATGCTGTTTCCTCTGCCTGGAATGCTTGTCCCGCAGAGGCAAGCACGTCTCAGAAACCATCAGCACCTCCTCAGCGCGTCTCCCGGGGCCACGTGGTCTGACAGGACCCTCCACGTGCCAACTGTCTGCTGCTGTGCTCCACCGCACCCGTGCTGGCAGAGGTACGTTATTGATTACATTATTAACGATTGCGATGCTTCCTATTGACATCTGGTCCTCCACGCTATGAGCTCCACGAGACCAGAGTCCTCCTGCCTTGTTCACCCAGCACCCAAGCACAGGGCTGAGCCTGTGGCTGCATGTGGGACATGCTTGTTGTTTAAACGAATAACTGGGAGCTCCCCCTGCCGCCTCTTACAGACAAGACCCAACTGTGCGTCCCAAGGGAGAGGCAGAGAGAAGGCGGGTGAGGCAGAAGAACACACTTTTTAAAGACAAGAAACAGCCCGTCCTTACTTGAGGCCTCTCTTCAATGCTTCAAAGATCTTCTTCACCTGCTGGGGCTTGGGGTCCAGGCACACGGACCCCTTCCTCAGAGTGCCGTACATCTTGGAGGGTTTTACAGGCATTCGTGATCTCACGGAGTTCCTGTTGATGGACTTTCTGTGAGAAGGAATGGAGGGGATGAGAAGTCAGAGCAGGGCTCTGAACAAAGCCCTGCGCTGGGACAGACCCTTTGGGAACAGTGACCAGAGCCCCAGGGAGTCAGGAGACCTGTCTGGGTCCCACCCACATCACCACCAAGCAGTGTGATCTCAAGAAAGTTGTTGAGACTCTCCAGGTCTCAATTCTTCATCTGTTTAATGAGGGGCTTGGATTAGAGGATTAGAAGAGTAATAACAGATAATAAACCTGGTATCAGAAGTGAATTTACAGTGAGAAATACAATCCAGCAGCCCAAATGTCAAGGCTCTCTGATCAGCATGCTCTGTCTGTGCAGGCAAAGCAACGTGGGTGGCCAACTCATAGTCCTGTGGCTTACCCATGGGGTGGGCACCTGTTGGCTCTGCCTGCCCAGCATCCATCCCCTCCTTCTGTTCATGGCCCCTTGGTTTTCCCCTGGGCACTTCCCCAGATCTGCTTTTTATACTTGTGGTCTGGGGGAAGGTGGCCTGACAAATCACCGCACACACACATATTTGCACATGCACACAAGAGCATTCTGAGGCAAACCCACATCCCAGGCTGTGGCTAGTCCACATATTCCACTCCCCTAGCCCAGGGAGAGGCACAGGACACAAGATTGGCCAGTAAGCATCCAGGAGATCGGTTCTGAGTTCACAAGAGGAGGAAGGGTTCTTTCTGCCAGCATTGCTAAGCTGGGAAGCACACATCTGGAGCTTCTAGCCCCCTTCTTTTGCCACCATGTAGAGAGAATGGAACTAGCACAGAGAGACCAAATCCATATGGCAGTGAGTTCCTGGATCCAGCTGTGCCTGAAGCAGAATCTGCCCACGGACTCTGCCATTACAGGAGCCAGCTGGGGTTGGGAGTGTGAATTGGATGATCCTAAGAATGAATGTCTCCCAGCAATGACCATAGGGTCTCTCAACCCTTTGGAGATGTACCAGCATCTCAGGACTGGGGTCAGGGCACCCTAGTCATAGCACAGAGCTGGTTTCACTGGCATCTAAGCCCCTCCTTATGACACTATAACGTATCCAGTAGGCTTCAAGACCTGGCTGGCTGATGCAGCCTTCACTCACCACAGATATGTTGAAGTCCACTCTTAGCCCTTCAAAGATGTCTTCCAGATGCCCTTGCACCAGGTATGGCTTCATCCTCACAAATGAGGTACAGGTGGAAATAACTCTTAAAACTAACTTCTGGGTCAGTTCTTAAACGGGAGCTGCTAGCCCTTCTCTTAGCTCCCCTCTGCCTTCCTGGGGGCGGCACATGGATGCGCTGGAAGCCAGCATCAACCACATGCACAAGGGTCCCTGTGAGGATGGCTGAGTGACAAGAGAGAAGGAAGAGGCCTAGACAGCCTTGTGGCGCAGACCAACCCGCAAATGCCGTCAGCCACCCACTGGCTCTGCACTGCTACGAGAGAGAGAAGGAGAAATAACTGATCTCATTTAAGCGCCTGCATTTTGGGACTTTGTCAAAGCAACTTCACCTCTGTGCTGATATACTACCCAAGCCTCAGTTTTCTCATCTGTAAAATGGGAGAAATAATAGAACCCACATCAGAGGTGGTGCTGAGAACTCTGTTAGGTGCCAGGCCAAACATTTGACATAATAGAGGCAGTTAGTAGGTGTTTTATAAATATTAGCTATTGTTGTAATAATCACATCCTGGCTGTGTCTTTCCCCTACCTCACGGCCTAGAAAATAGTAAGTGCTCAGTAAATATTGAGCTAAACTGAATGGGGAAGGAATACAGCATGCAGAGGGGATTGGAGAACAGAGGGATCCTGGACCCGAGGCTCTCAGCTGGACTCTGAGGGAAGAGCAGGACCATGGGTACAGCCCACTGGTATCCAAGCTGGGGGACAGAGTGAGCAAGGAGGGGAGAGGAGCTGGTACAGTCTGTGGGTGGACAGCAAGGAGCACGTCTTGACCGGGCAGAGGTGGGAGGCTGCTGACAGCCTGGATCTGGGGACTTTCTAGTTTTGGGGACCCAGGATGGGTTGGGGGAAGGAGAAGGTTGGCTTCCAGAGAAAGTCCAGCTTCAAACATCTTTACAAGGACAACTAATGTCTCCACTGAGCAGAGAAACTAAACTCAGGCCACGGCTACTGGGCTGCTGGTGCAGCCAACACCATGAGCCAGGGCCCTGGGAGTTTACTGATATAACACATTAATCACAGGTCCACTGAGCACTGGCTGTCACTAGGTATTCGCTAAGGCTTTTATGGAACTGTCTTGTTTGACTTTTCACAACCACCCTAAGCAGCAGGTATTATTTTTAACCCCGTTGCAAAGTAGGGAAACAGGCTCAGATAAGTGACTTGCCCAAGATCATGATGCAGTTTGCAGGCAGCAGAGCTGGCATCCAAACCCAAATGTATGCAAATCCTCAGCCTGGGATCCTAAGGACCCAAATGGGAGCAGGATGCAGGATTCTCTCAGGGGTGTCAGAAACACCTGGGGGTCTCTTCTGACTCAGACTGCCACCCCCTGCTAAAGAGGCCCAGCTCCAGGTTTTCTTGAGAGCTTTTCAGAGTCAACTGAACTTCTGAGGTCTAAAATCAAGGGCAAGGGATTCATTCATTTAAACACACACTCACAGAGCAGGGCTGTCCCAAAGTCAGGCACTGGGATGGGAGCCAATGGGCCAGGGTCTCCCCTCAAGGCTCACGGTCCATAGGGAGAGACAGAGAATTGCGGTCTGGAGAACCAGGCAGGGAACAGGCAGGACACAGCTCCAGCCCTTCACCAGCTCTGAAAGAAGTGCCACTGGGCCACTGCCCCTTCCTGGTCCCCAAGAAGCTCATCAGGCAGCCAGGCTGTTTTTCCAGTTGGGCCAGATGCCACACGTTTCACACACAGGCACAACGCCCACTGTTTGCTCAAATGCGGGGGCGCTGTCCTGGCTACTCTGCTGACGGGGACCAAGCTCCAAGCCCCGCCAAGCCCCGTGGTTCTGAACCACAAGCCAACAAACCAGAGGATCCTCAGGGGCCTCACCAAGCTGAGTGGTTAGAGATGTAATCTCTGGGTCAGTCCCCTATGTTCAAACCTCAGCCCCATGTTTCACACACAGGCACAACGCCCACTGTTTGCTCAATGCGGGGGCGCTGTCCTGGCTACTCTGCTGACGGGGACCAAGCTCCAAGCCCCGCCAAGCCCCGTGGTTCTGAACCACAAACCAACAAACCAGAGGATCCTCAGGGGCCTCAACAAGCTGAGTGGTTAGAGATGTAATCTCTGGGTCAGTCCCCTATGTTCAAACCTCAGCCCCAGTGGTCTCAGGAACTTAACCTACATAAGCCTCAGTTCCCTCATCTGTGGAAGGGGGATAATAAGAGCTGCCCCACAGAGTTGTCATAAGACATCCATTCATTCAACAAACATTTGCCAAGTACCTACTGTGCACCAACCACCATGCTAGGGGCTGGGGAAAGAGCAGTGACCAAAACAGACAAGGAGAGACAAAATAGCTGGAGATAGCCTGGGAAGTGGTAGCCGGTGCAGGCTCCAGAGCCAGATGCTGGCATGTGTATCCAGCTCCCGCACATGCAAGCTGTGTGACCTCAGGTAAGTTACTGAACCCCTCTGTGCCTCAGTTTTCTCATCTATAAAATGAGGACCAGGGAAGGGATAACTGTGAAGTTTATTTACATGGTTAATAAATATAATGGGCTTTACACCGGGCCTGGCAAAGAGTAAGTGCCATAAATGTGTCAAATTAAATAAGTTTTAAAAAATGCATATCAGATAGTGCCTAGTGCCAAAGAGAAAAATAAAGTGGGATGGGGGAGGTAAAGAATTTAAATAGGGTGGACAGAGAAGGCTCCTCCAACCAGGTAGCGTCTTAGTTAAGGCAATGTGCACAGACACCAGACAGAAGCCTGGCACATCCTTCGTGCTCACGCCCTGCTCACTGCTGCTGTTATTCCTGTGTATTATATATGTCACATGACACTTTCCAAAGCCCAAGGGTCTGCGCTCCCTCCCCCCAAGGCCGCATCACCCACCTCTTGGAATGGGCCCTCCACAAGGTTGCCATCTCCAGACCAGCAGAGACAGAGACGGGCAGGGCTGCAGACTTGGGGACAGGCAGGTTTCAGACAGGCGAGGGTCCCCAACAGGTGGGCAGGTAGGCAGGGCAGGCAGCTCTGAGGTGGGGGCCAGCCAGCTCCCAGGGGCCCACAGTCCTGGGCAGGTGCATACGCCCTTCCATCTACCTGGAGACCTCCGCACCCTCTCTGCTGTGGCTCTGCCTGGAAGCACCGCTCACCAGGCAGCTCGGAGCCCAGGGCTCCCTGTCTGAGGATCAACAGGACAGGCGTGACAGCCACTCTGAGGGCTGGCCTAGGGAAGGTGATGCATGTGCCACCTCCGGATGGTGAAATGAGGCTGCATGTCTGGCCCCAGTGTCACACCAGCTGGGACAGGGAGCAGCCTCTGGGGGTGGATGTCTCACCAGCTCTGGGAGGACTCAGTAAATATTAAACAGCCCCTGGCATGCCAGACAAGCTTCCAGATGGACACGTGCAACCCAGTGGCCCCAGCCCTCATGTGAGGTCACCGGAGCCATCTTTCTGCCTGGTGTGGGTGTGGGGAGGCCCAGGGACATGGCTGCTGTGAGTGCAGGATCCGCAGCCACATAGGGCGGGGCATAGGCCCCCCATTTGTCCCCACCACCAGGCAGGGCAATTCTAGGACCAACTGGACTGGCTTCAGGTGAGGACTCGTGCAATGAGGACGTGAGCGGACCACTTATCCTGATGTCAGGGGACACTGGACGATCGGGGATGAGGATGAGCGTGCACGTGGCACTTACAAAGTACAAGCTGCGCTCTCGGTGCTTTCTATGGACTGACCCATCTCCTCCTGACACAAGTCTACGAGGTCTGTCCTTTGGTACAGTTGAGGAAACTGAGCTTATGTAAGTCGTCCCTGGCTCCAGAGTGTGCCCTCAACTGCTTCCCACC